TATTTAACAGTAAATCAGGACCAGGGGGACTCAAATTTAAATTTTGGCAAGATAGGAGTCATCTTCAGCTAAGACAGTTCAATTTTTCTAACAGGATGATTGGCCTTTGGTTACCTTCAGATGTTGTAGAGGCAGTAAATTTAAGTGAGTTTAAGAAAAAGCTTGATAAGTATATGAATGATAAGGACAGCGTTTAAGATTTTTTGTTTTTTAAATTATCTTAATTTAATTTAGAGGACGGAACAGCCGAGATGGGCAAATAGGTCTCATGTTGTCCTAAAACATTGTTATTTTTGAAATAATTAATTCAGTCTTAGAAAAGTAGAGAAAATGTGGAGAAAAAAAAGTTCTATTAAACCAATTTTTTTTTGTATTTTCCATGTAAATTGTTAATGTATATTAAATAGCAGTAAATTGCAAGGAAATGAAACGTTAAACTGCGGAACTGTCAGGCCTCCCAGTGAACCTATAAAACTTATATTTTGAAAGTGATAATTTTCTTTGTGAAACTGAATTATGAAACCTTATTTTTTTCAACCAACCTGAACCACACATATATGAAAAAAACTTATCGAGTTCTTCAATTTAACAGTAAACAAAACCTATCACAAAAGTCTGATGAATTGGAAAATATTCTGTAGAAAAACATAAGAAATGTTTTGGTTTCAGTAATATTGTGATTTTATATGTGGTTTGGGTTTGTAGATTGGATATTTGCCAAAGAAATTAGAGTATCTATAAAAAAAATCTGTTTCTTTCTTTCTGGCCATACAGCTTATATTAACTTTTATTTTCATGTTAGAGCTTTTGTTTTTAAGTATACTGAGAAGTCTGAAACATGTTCTGTATCAGAAAAACTGTGGAGAGAGATCCCTTCTCCCATAAAAAGTATTTTCAGCCCTTTAAAGGCTGACAACTAACACTTAATTACACTAAAATTTCATAGCTTTTAGTGTTAATGTAACCGTTATAATTCATCATCAGTAAATCCAAAAGTGGAATACAACTTTCTTACATCTAGTTGCCAAAATCTTGGTACACAGATTATGAACATTTGTAGACTACAGTAACAAAAACGTTTTCATTGTTAATAAAAATTTGTATTGTAATTTATGAAGTGTACATAATACTGTGTAAAAGTTTTCATTGTTAATGAAAGTTTGTATTTTAATTCATGAAGTGTACATAATACTGTGTAAAAGTTTTCATTGTTAATGAAAGTTTGTATTGTAATCCATGAAGTGTACATAATACTCTGTAAAAGTTTTCATTGTTAATGAAAGTTTGTATTGTAATCCATGAAGTGTACATAATACTGTGTAAAAGTTTTCATTGTTAATGAAAGTTTGTATTTTAATTCATGAAGTGTACATAATACTGTGTAAAAGTTTTCATTGTTAATGAAAGTTTGTATTGTAATTCAAGTGTACATAATACTATGTAAAAGTTTTCATTGTTAATGAAAGTTTGTATTGTAATCCACAAAGTGTACATGATACTGTGTAAAATGCCTTTTTAAACATCTGGAGTAGTGATGGGTGATAATGAAAGCTGTATCATCATATAATTATTGTATTTATTGTCCTTATTCATATCTTAGGTGAAAAAAAGGAGATGATTCAATAATCTTGTTGACTGTACTTTTTCATATTTAATATTGTCAATTCTAAACTTAATTATTTTATTGTTTAAGTTATTCTGGTGATTCAAACTTCTTGGTAGGAGTCAAAGGTTTAAAAGCAGGCATCAAAGATGTACAGGTAGGTCTAATTATGCCATTTGTGTGTTGTTGCTGTTTTCCTTTTTTAAGTCGTATTTATAAAATAATTATATATCTTTATGTGTGTGTGTGAGAGAGAGAGCCAGTCTCCTGCTTAGTATGCCAGACTGCAAGTTCGATGGCTATGGTTCCTGTCATTTTTCCATACAATTAAAATCACACTTCAAACTTTGTGGTTATGGGTGCATTATAAGAGTGATTGGCAAATCCCTCCATCTGATTAGAGTAGCCTTCCTTCTAGTCTGTCAGTTTGAAACTAAGGACAGCTAGTGTATATAGACTTTGTGTAGCTTTGTGCAAGTATCCAAAACAAATAAATTATGTGTGTGTTTGCATAGAGGTATCTAAATAAACCAGGGTACATTACATAATGACCCACCCTAGGACTTGTGCCCCAGTGTCGGATATTTGTTTCATGGCTGCATTTTGATTTTTTTCAAGTATATTTTTTCATTTATTTATTTACTTATTTATTTGACCTTTTTTTATCTCCAAAATTAAATTAAATTATATATAGATAGATAGATCGATGGATGGATAGATATAAACAAGCCTTAATAACTACAACAAAAGTACTGTGTATATTAAAAATATCAACAGGTCACAGGCTATAATGTTGGGATACAAGATGCACCCCTAAGTTTTGGAGGTGACTGCAAAATTAGAACCCACATAATGGTGTGGATACACTGTCTACCAGTCTTAACTTCTGTTCCCTTGTCTCACATGCTATAGAAAGAAGAGTAAACATAAAATAATTAAGAAAGTTAGGAGAGCAAGATGTGAATGCACAAGCCCACAATGATCCACATCTGTATCACCCCATCACCTTTCACTACCTGCAGACAGTTGTGGGAAAGTGAGCACACAAGCTCATAATGACCCACATCTATATCACCTTTCACTACCTGCAGACAGCTGTGGGAAAGTGAGCACACAAGCCCACAATGACCCACATCTATATCACCTTTCACTACCTGCAGACAGTTGTGGGAAGGTGAGCACACAAGCTCATAATGACCCACATCTATATCACCTTTCACTACCTGCAGACAGTTGTGGGAAGGTGAGCACGCAAGCCCACAATGACCCACATCTATATCACCTTTCACTACCTGCAGACAGTTGTGGGAAGGTGAGCACGCAAGCCCACAATGACCCACATCTGTATCACCTTTCACTAC